AATCATTGTATTTTCTGCTTAAACTCCTTATCCTAAGGTACCCATCAGTGAATTTTTTCTTTTTAAGGGATTGTTGTTCTTTTTGCCTATTTTTTTACTGAGGTGAAGAGATGTCCCTCATTCATCTTAGCTATTTACTATTGTAGCTTCTGCATTGATGTACTTCTCAAATATCAAAAACATGTTAACCAAAGTTTTTAGAGATTCCAAAGATAAGGTTAGTTTAAAATGTCTTCTTTAGCAGCTTGCTTTAAGTTTTTCACATGAAGAGCTTAAGCATTAAAATATGTGACATATTCTTTCAAGGGTTCATTTCATCCTTAATAGATGGATATCAAACTTATTGTAGTTTTTTTTATTTGTCAATTACTGACAAAGTGGCCAAGCTACTTGAAAGTTAAGATCGTTCTTGGTTCCAAATTAGTGTACCATGACTGAGCTACCCATTAAGGGCTGTGGCAAGTTTTTTGCACATTAGAGGTTCATTGGCTTCCTATATTAACATGTTAGTTTTATAAAGCTCAAAGTGGTCAAAGAGATCAGTGGTGCCGTCATAAGTTTCTTAGGTAAGCATTTTGAATTCCTTTAGTGTCAAAACTCGATCAATGTCTTCGATTAAAGGGGATGTTTTTAAAAACTTGAGTCATCATTAAAGGTACAAGCTTTATTCTAAGCTCTTTCTCCATGCCTTCATCCAAGCTTCTAAGTTTTTGTTGTATTGTGGTTCTGAGGTAAACTTGTTTCGATTTTTAAGTGGTTTATGTTCAGGTATTTGTGGATAACAACTTTTGGGGGTTTCATCCTCTTTATAGGCTAACGAGGTAACACTATCATCATAAGTTGGTAGTTTTAGTGTTTATGGGCTTCTCGATGCCATAGGATTTGGTTCTTTTAAGGTCTATAAAGAGTTAAGTTCTGAATAAATTTTTTTAGTAATTGTAATTATTAGGTAAGGGCTTCGAATTGCTCAATGGTTGGTTGTTTGTATAGGTCGATTTCGATTGGCTGAGTTAGGTGAAAGTTCCAATAGCAATAATGTTATCTCTTTTTTTACACCTTTTTTCTTAGAAAGCATGATTAGTTCAGCTAGATGGACAAGGCCCTTACCTAGTGCCCTAAAATGTTTGTATTGAGTTCTCTTGATGAGACCAAAGACTTAAAATTACAAGGTTAGAAGTCGATTAAAAGCAAAAGTGAAAGGTTTCTTTAGCATTTATGTTTCTATACTTAAGTCAGTAATCAAGAAAAAAAAACAATCTTAAGAAAAAAATAGAGAACTAAATACCTATTCTTGATGTGATGGGGCTATTTATACCTATAGGGTGAAAATGTCAGGCCAAGACAAATCGAGCTTTAAAAGATAAGTCTAGGGCTAACAATGTTAGCCTACCTAACCTATCAGGCAGTAGTCCAATTAAAAGGTTACAAGTTAGCATTCTCATGTGCCTTCAAGTGAAGAGTTAAGTTAGCTAAGATGACATGGGCTCCGAAACTTCAAGTTGGCTTAACATATCAACTCAAGTTGAAATGATTAAATTACCTTTGTTTTGTTGATGAGTCATTCTCTAAGAGAAAAAATTCATAATACCCTTATGACCATAAAATGTCTTAACATATTCTTTGATCAAGATTCCATCCAACTCATTTGAATTTGGTGCCATAATTAATGTGAAAATTCTAGATCTGAAATAATAATTCAAAATTTAGATTTTGTCAGTATCCTAGCCGTCATATTTTACAAAAGAATTTCAGCTTATTTTCTGTCACATAGGAAAATTTATTCTAGATCCAAGTTTGATAGTTTTGTGATTTACATTTCAAGCCTAATTTTCAGCACATCGATGTTATTTTCTACTAGCACAAGGTTGACCATAGGGGTTGGTTGAGTTGGTAAAGTCTAATTACTTAACTTGTAAGGCTAGGTTTGAATCCTGTTGCTAGCAATCTCCCTTATTGGGCTATCTTTAAATCCAAAATAAGTCTTTTTTAACTCTTACAATTTGCTTTGGTCTTGGAATGGGAAACCTCCCTTAACCAATAGGAAGCCTTGCCTCATCCTAAACTTTTATACACCAAAAAACCTTGAAGTCTTATTTCTAACTTGATTTTCTATCACATTGAAGCCTTATTCCAACCCCATGCTTTGTCTCTTGGGTATTTTGTTTTAAATTTCATAATTTAAATCTTGTAATGGTCTTTTAAATTTTAATTTTTTGAGGGTTGTTTCAAAATCTTATAAGGATTGTTTTAAAGTAACTCAATTCTATAATATATTAAATGTGGTATGAGTGTGATTTGAAGTTAATAAACCTTCTAGTTTTTATCTAAGTTCTATATCTCATAGGCTTTTCTTAAAATGGTAGGCTTTCTAAATTAGTGGTGATTTTTTATCTATAGAGTGTGAGTTATCTTATTTTGCATCTTTGAGATGGTGAATCTATATCCTCAAAATTGCGAGCTTATTAATTTTCTATTAGTGTGTGATTGAGGGATTAATAATCAATTAATCCCTTAATCTAGTACTACTTCCAAAATATTATAAATCATCACACAATAAAAAAACAAATCAAAAACATAAAAATAACTAAATTAAAAAATGTTATTGCTAGAAGCGATGAAAAAAATGTCGTTGATGGCTTTTGACTTTAGGTTTTTATAGAGAAAATTTGTTTTTAGAATAATGGATATCAATGGTAACAAAATGAATATTTGCTATTTTGAGGTGTTTGTTAAGGGTGATAGCGGTTCGGATAAAATCATATTTGATTCGATTTTTCGAATGATGCATAATACTATAAATTTTTAAAATCTAATTCGAATCTGAACCGATCTACTAGTTCTGTTCAATTCATCGATTTTTTAAATTTAATTTTTTATATATTATTTTAATATGATTTTTGATATATTTAAATAGAGTTATAAATAAAATAATTATTTTATTTTATAAAAATTTAAAACTATATATATAACTAATAAAATATATAATTCAATTCATTTTTTTTAGTTTTTCACTTCTTGATTCAAAATATGATCGAACCTAATATATATTTAATATTTGAACTTAATTCAAACTGAATAAAAAAAATTTATCTAAACACTACAGTTTCAAATCGATTTTTAGTTTTCTAGATTTTTTCTTATTCCTAGAACCTATATTCAAGTCCATTTAAATATTCAATTAGATATTGTATCACTATTAGAGACGGCAATCAAGCCCGTCCCCGACGGGTTTTGGCCCGGCCCGACCCAACCCTATAGGGTCGAGTTTTTTTTTTTTGAATTTCGGGTTTCAGGTCGAGGTCGGGTAGGGTAAAATTAGATAACAATCGGGGTCGGGTCGGGTTCGGGTATGCCTAAAACCCGACCCTACCCGACCCGACATTATTAAAAAATTATTTTTTAATTAATTAATTAATTATTTATATGTATATTTATATAATGATATTTTTAAATATTTATATTTAAAAAATAATATTTTATATTTAAAAAATAATATTTTTATTAATTTCGGGTCGGATTCGGGTTTAATAAAGCATAAACTCGGGTCGGGTTCGGGGCGAGCAAATAGTGATTAGGGATGGCATTGGGTCGGGTTCGGGGCGGGCAAAACCCACCCCGAACTCGACCCGATGCCATCCCTAATCACTATCCAAATCCATTTAAATAAGTATTATCCATTAAATATTGAATCCATTTAAATATCAGATAAGCTATTTTTTTTGCAAAAATATAAAATAAAAGAGAATTAAATTTAAAATTCAAATTCACTTTTAATTAATAACTAATAAAGGTTGTTTGCTAAGGTTCAAAATCTTTCAAAAATATAAAATTTTATTTACTTTGCATATATAAATGGATAACGGGTTTGGATATCGATTTGGATATCTGATACTATCCATTAAAACTTATATGGATTCAAATATTATATATCCAATAAATATTATCCAAATCCTATCCAAAACTATCACAGATACTAAACTTATTATTCGAATCCGTTAATCCTATATTGTAAATATCCAAACTCAACATAAATGAATCAGATAATGCTTAATATTTGATTATTTTCGTGATTATTTTCTATGTTTACAATCCTTAACAATGGATAAAACATTGAACGAAAAATACTAGAAAAAAAATTGGGTTTTTTATAGTTATTGATTGTGGAAAAAGTGGTGAAAAACCAATAGAGATTAGGATTTTTTTTTTCCAAAAATAAAAGCAACTTAAAAAAATAAAGAAAAAAAAATGAAGGGCAACTGTTAAGGGTAAAATTGATAACTGCTACAAAAGAAAGGAGAGAACGTAGAAAAATAGGCTTAGGAGTTCATGAGATAAGGAAATAAAAGAAAAAAAAGTTTTATAATTAGGGTTAGATTTAAGTTTTTGTAAAAATACCAAAACTACATCAATTTAGTAAATAAAAATTAAAAAAAAAGGTAAGAAAAGTAGGCTACATCGATTCGGTTGAATTTAAGTTAATATTACACTCAATAAATTTAGGTTAAACCTAATTACAAATAAAATATTTATTACTCTACTTTTTAAAATTCTTTTCTTTTTATTTAATTTGTAATTTTATTCATGATTTAAATTTACTAAATTACTTTAAAAATGATTAGCAATAAAAAATAAATGATATAATTAATTAATAATTAAAATTTATATTTAATTTCAAATTTTAATGTTTTAAAATAACTATTTTGATTTTATTATCTTTTTATTATTTTTTTATAAACAGCTTTCTTTTTAAAAAATAACCCTATGCAAAGGGAAAATATAATTCTAGTATGTAATGGTATAGAGTCTAGTTAATAATTGAACAAATAAATTAAAAAATAAGAATTCTAATTGAAAGTACCCAAATGGTGTAGAAGAGGAAGGACTGAATTGAACATTTTATGAAGTATAGGGACCGGATTCTAAAATTTGACCAAATTGAAAAAAAATAATAATAATAAAGTAATTGAAGTGATGGTGGTAAACGTAAGGGTTTAATCGTCTCGTCTTCGATTGCTTTACCTAAACCAAAGTCAAGTGATGCTAATAAAATTTCAATTCGAAGCTCAGCCCTGGAAACAATGCCATTTCCGGCAAACAAATTTATAACCTCTTCTTTCTTTGGACTCACAATTCTGGTCGCTCTCATCGCTTTTTTCCTCAAATTTAAATCTACACAGGTCTCCTTTTCTTTCCTTTTTTCGGGGGGGTTTTTTCACTGTTTTTGTGCGTGGAAACTGGAAATGTTTTCTTGTTGTTTTTCATGCAGAAATTGTTCACTGCTGAAGAACTGGCATTGTACAATGGAACCGATGATTCATTACCCATACTGTTAGGAATTTTGGGGTACTTTCTTTTGCCTTATTCTTCATATTATTATAAATAAAAATGTTTAAGATGCTAATCCAGATTAATTTCTTTGTGATCAGATCTGTATTTGATGTTACTAAAGGAAAATCTCACTATGGTTCTGGAGGAGGTTACCATCATTTTGCCGGAAGGTCCTTTTTTTTTTTTACTTGGAAATTGGAATCTTGAAGTAGTTATGTTTCTTAATTATTAGTATTTTTTCTTTTTATATATATGTCTGCACGTATTACCTTCTTATTGTGTTTCTGCATTAGTTGCTATTTCTTGTTGAAATTCTCGATGTTGTTGCTACCTTTATGATATGTGCTTTACCCAATCATTTCCTAGTATTGAGACAATTATTCCCACTGACCAAAGTTTGTTGGGCATATCTTCATATGCCAATTACATCTTTTCTCTGCTTTCACTATATTTCCAAACTTGCAAACTGATATCTCATTTGTTGTATGTTCTTGATGATTCAGAGATGCCTCCCGTGCGTTTGTTTCTGGAAACTTTTCAGGTAAGTATTGTGATCCTTCTGCTCACTTGTAAGGATGGTTTTGAGGGTTTTATATTTCAGTGCATATGACTTAAACCTGTTCACGAAATCAAAGTATGGAGCAAACAAAGAAAAACAGTGTAGTACACCGACTTAGACATATTCTGAACCAATTCTGATTGTATATATGCAAAAGCAAGATTCTAAGTCTCTTCTCAAGCAATAGAAAATTGGGAAATGGCTAATTATGGTTCCTCAATGGTTCCTCATATAGTGAGTCAAATAACAGAATCATGTATTTTGATTCCTTGCTTCGCCATGAAATGCAATGTAAACCAATTTGAAGGTGTTGATATTTATATATTCTTGCTATAAAGTCATAGGCTTGGCCAGTTGCTTAATTTTCACATTCTAGCATAACATTATTCAATCGAGGAGGAGAAAATCCTAAATGATGAACTCTAGAACCATCTCTAGAAGATACCATCTTCAGTTAGGGTCATGAGAAACATAGGAGGATTATAGTCACATAGAGTCAACAACCTTTAATGCAAACAAAAAAGATGTCGAGAAAAGTTATGACTAAATTCTAAGAAATCCAGAATTGGACTGATTCATGACTTTACTCATGCTAGAATAGATATGAGCAATTGGGCACATGTAATCGCATGCTAAATATATGCATATTTTATTCTTATTTCTTGTTAAGTTATTTGTACTTGACAAATATAATTGTTTCATTGATACCACGTAGAATGAACTTCACTTCTAGGTTTAACCTCATGTTATGATGCTAACACAAACACAACAGTGAGGTTTTGGAAACTGACATTTAGATGGCCTTTGACTATATCTCCTGACTATCTTAATGGAGTTATGCATATTCACTGTGCATCCCTTTGGTACCTAAATTAACAAAATAATAAACTGTGTATGGAGGTGATTTTCTGTTAGAAAATATTACATATCTAAGCTCTGCTATATTAATTTTCATTTTGTTAGCTTTTTAAATATTTTATCTCTTATTTCTTCATTTTTCAAACAGGAGATGGACTTACAGATTCATTGCGAGGTTTATCCAGCACTGAGGTAATGAAATATTCCCACTTCTCTTTTAGGGATATGCTGTTATATATGTGCCCTTCCCTTTAACCTACCTTTGATCTATCCGCAAGCTAGTGGAGGCTAACCTTTAATCAGAAGCACAAAGGAAAAGTTTTTCTCATATTAGCTCAAATTACACTTTAATTAAAAGAAGCGCTTAAGCTATTTCAGGCATCTTTTTTTTCTGACAGTTAGGTCTTGGTTTTATTTCTTACAAATGCTTTTTCGCTGGCATCTTTGTCACACAATTTTTATTGATTTAGTTATGTATAAATGCATGTTTCTTCACTGTATATCATGCTAGTAAGTTACTCAGTTTTCATTTTTGTAACACTAATTACATACTTACAAAAGATATAACTATAGGATGGGCCTTTTTAAGAATGTGTCATGTCCAATGCCATATATTAGTTGTAAAATTCATTTGTCTCACACTGTTCTTCATGTTTGTAGGTCCATAGTGTAGTTGGATGGCGAGACTTCTACTTCAGAAGCTACAAGTGAGTACCTCACTGTTCAGTAATTTTTTTCATGAAGACCTTTTTTTCCAGATTTCTTTGTAGACTCTAGGATATTGATAATTTTGAATTCAAACTTATCAGGGAGAAAGCACATGTCCTTCAGATGTTTGAGTCCTAAAACCACTAAAGGACTATAGTTCTCTACGTTTTTTAATATCTAATTCAAGGCTTTAGGTTTAACTGTATTTATTTCTGATATGTACGGTAATGTGAGGAGCAATATGTAAGAAACTATAGGAACTTAATTATGTTAATGAGACTCAGAACCAACTGTGCTGACATGACTAGACTTTGACAATGATATGGGATTTGAATCAGATTCATCGGACACTGTTGGGGAAGTTTGCTACCGATTGAACCAAATCGATGCCCCAACCAAAAGCTTTCTTCAATTTCTTTCTTCCATTACCCCATCAATTTCCTCATCAATTGATGTATAACCTTTCTGCCTAATTCAAGTTATTCAAACAGACACGGATTCAATCCACAAATTATTAAAGAACTAGAAAGAACAAGTGCAGTATCAAAATTGAAAAATTAAGAAAAAGAACACTGAAAAGAGAAAGAAGAGATGTGCTGAGAGAACGCATGGAGGAACATTCTAGAACCAAAAAGAAAAAAGGAGGGGAAGTAAAAGCCAAAAATAAAGGATTAATACAGAAAAATGAATAAAAAAGAACATTGAAAGGAGGAAGAAGAGAATGTTCCTCCATGTCCCTTCTCTTCTTTCTCTGCACTTCTATTCTTTCTCCTTTCTCGTTTCAGTTTTTGCTTTCTTTTTGTTTTCAGTTCCAATCTGCCTTCTTCTTCCTGGTTCTTGCATAATTTTTTATTTGTGATGAACTTGTGTTTGTTTGAATGACTTGAATTACAGGGAAAGATTATACAATATTTAAAGAAGAAATTGATAGGCTAATTGAAGGAAAGCTTTTTTTTTTATTTTCTGAGGCATCGATTTGGTTCAATCGGTGGCAAACTTCCCCAACCATGTCCGATGAATCAGACACAAATCCCATAACCTTGTCGGTGTCAAGTCATGTTGACATGGGTGCACAACCTAACATGCTGAGTCCAAGCAACATAGGGCAAATCAGCTTCTTGTTTCAATTTTTAATATAATTCTTGTTACTTTGATATGTTTGGTGTAGATTCATATTCCTTTTTTTCTCATTCACCTCAAATAGATTAATATTATTGCCCTATGTTAGTGCTTTTGGTCTAGTGATTGACTTTTGTTTTATGAAGAGTAAACTAACAAGCTCATCAGCAATTAATAAAATGCTTTGGAATGTGCTTAATTCTTGATTCATCGCTGTAGATTTGTTGGAAGGCTTGTGGGTCGCTACTACGATAGCCAAGGAAATCCCACAAAATATCTAAAGGGAGTAGAAGCAAAGGCTGCTAGAGGAGCACAACTCTTGGAGAAACAAAAAATTATGGAAGCTAAACAACCCAGTTGCAATTCAAGATGGAGTCAAGATGATGGTGGAGAGGTATATGCTTTCACAGCTTTGAAATCGAGCTGGAAAACCTTCTAATTTAATTTTAGCAAAGTTAAGTAACACTGCTGAAATTCGCACCCTACTCATGCCTGCCAACAAAAAGATTTATCTCAACGAAATCCATTTTGTTTCTTCTATACTTAACTAAGAAAACATGCTAACTTCTGTCAAAGTATGTCATAGAAGTATCTATAATGTGGAAGCTAATATCCCTAAAGCTCCAATGGCTTCCATGCCCTTTGTTAAATTAAATATAATTATTTTGATATTCTTAAATATAGTAATAGAGCTAAAAACTATGATGAGAGATGTGAAAGATGAATGAAGATAATGGAGCGTGCTAACTGATGTCTAAATCACCCTAGATGCTTCTTACTTTTGGTTTGAGGATAGGCCACTGGCATTAACCTATTATTGAAAATCCAGAAATGGAATGAGAGAAGGTTAAAGCATAGTTGTGCGCATGCGTACTTCACACTCTCACACAAACACACATAAGGGAGAAAGCTTTGACCTAGTTTAGAAATTTTAGCATAAACAATGTTAAGGGTCATTTTTTCAGCCCTATAGATGATCCATTCACAGACTTTGATGTGTATGATAGACTATTATATGTCTTCATATTCAGGTCTTCCTTTTTTATGCAGTAATATTTGGCCTCTCCTTATTACTTTTCCCTAACAAGTAGGTGTAAATTTTGTTTAATTTCCGTTTCTTTTCTTTCATTAATGGCATTTGCTAACAAGGAGAAGGTATTTGAGTTGTTACACAAATGATGAAACATGAAAGATGACTACACCTCACTGCAATTTCGAGACATCCCGAATTGTCGTTCTGCTTTATCCACTTATGATTGTGATCAGGTTTGGTGCGATAATGGCTTCCCAAGGTTGGTTCAGAGACCTTTAGAAATTGCTTTAACAGGAAAGATGAGCAAGCGATGTGCCTGCTTTAATGAAGATCAACTTGGCCAGCCAGGGTTGGAGGTCTATGACGGATGTGATTACCTTTCCAAGAGATGCCGAGTTTAAGTAACAGCACTTGAAGAGGTCATCTGTATAGTTAAAGTCCCCTAAATTCCAGACAACTTTGTTCAGCGGTACCGGAGTGACTTCAGGGTTGAGCATCTTAAGAGTTCCAATCCCAATAATAACCCCAAAAACCAAAAAATTTTCAGGCAACTTTTTGAAGATATGATGCAAAATTACTATATAGATTATGTTGGGTACGTTTTGAGTAACATGAAGAGTTTGTATAACATGGATGTCATGTATCCCTAGTGCAGTTGTGGAATTGTCTCTGACTTTTCAATGATTGATTTTCTTATCAATTTTTTAGTTGAAATCTAAGATCTAATCTTTAGAAAATTCCTAAATAAAAAGAGGAACACTGTTCATAGTCATCATTCTAAATAGGGTTAGATCAAATTTATCATTCATCTTTTTGAACAAAGTAATTATTCATTGTATTTTTTAATTTGATTAAAAATTTTAGAAATTAGTAACGAAACGAACAATACTTTAAAAATGATAGCAGTATATTTTTTTTCACAGAGGGTAGTAAATAATAATAAGAAAAATGATAACTCTATTACTTTTCGAATAATATGGTAATTTTTGTATTTATATTTATTTATTGCGAATTAAAATTTTAAAATATAAAATTTATTATGTCATAATTTATTTTTACAAATAAACAGAAAGTATGATTTTTATTAAAATTTTAAATTATTTTATTTTATATTCTTTTTATATCCATTTTGTCATTAAAATTATTCTGTGCAAAACATGGCCATCAAATTGGGAGCGGAATAAATTATCTTGTTATTTATCCGAATATAAGTAGGTAATGAAAATTAGTTAAAAGAAGTAAAGTGGGGTGGAAAATGGACTGACCAAGTTGGACTGGGCATAAGCCATCGGCCATGGCGGCTAATTGCAACCGAAAAAGAAAAGAAGGAGAAATAAACAAAGTTAAAATTAAATTTTAAAAAAAAAGTGAAAATTTTCTATTTAAGGCCCACGCAAGCAGCGCACTCATTCTTGTGTGCGTCAGTGCAATTTTTACTTTTCCATTGGATTGGAGGAGGTGATGGAGAATTCAGTTGCTGAACATCAACGCAATGAAGCATCTTACTCGTCGGATCCTCCAAATCATGCGCAGGAGGTGATTTTACTTTCTTCTTTTTCTGATAAATCAATGTTTACTTGTTATTTCACAAATCCAATTACCAGCCAATTTTTTGTTTCTTCTAAATTACAAAATAAAAGCTTAGTTTGATCTGAGCTGGGTTTCGCCTACAACTCGGTTTTGTTTCCTTGTTCAGTTGATCAGTTGATGTTGATACCTGAGATTATTCCTGAGATGAGCCAAAATAAAATTCATGAAACTTAATACTATATGATTCTTGTTCATGTGCCACATTCTTAGATCAGGCTTGACGCTGAGGATCATATTTTGAAGAGTAAAGCTATTGTGTCCCCAGTAGGACTGACTGACTATCCAAGTATTCATGATTGGCGTTTGTCAGTAGTAAATTACAACTTTATGGGTTTTTTTTTTTTTTTTTGTGAGTAGTTGGATGATGACTTGTTGCATGAAGCTCTATTAGAATTTCCTAAAATATGAATTAAAATTTACTTGGAAATCTTGCCATTGCCATGTGATTTATCCAAGCACCCAACTTGTTCATAATTTAGGAGATCTTTAATGAACTTAATCTGAATTCTCTGTGTAATTGGAAGCAATGGTTATGAGTGTGAGGTCTTCGAGAGTAGATGTTTGACGGGAAAAATCAACAGAAAAAGTGTCCACCTAGAATACCAACCTTAAAACTTTTCATCTCTTGTGTACTTCTTTTATATCTGATACCTAAATATCTATTATCCCGTCAATATATCACACCTATTTGTAAGTTTCTTGGATGTGTTTTAGAAGAACTTTAAAAGTTTAGGGTAGTATTAATCTTTAACTGTGGTTCGTGTAGCTTCATGTAGCATATGCATTGTTGTTGAACTGGTGTTTGTAGGTTTTTCTTTCTGTTATTGTCTTTCCAATTCATTGTAGCTTGGTACAATTTGATTCTTATTAAAGGGTTGCGATGGATTGTAGGCATGCATTGAAATGGAGAAAAGCGTTGAAGCCTCTTTTGTTCATCAGACTAGACGACCGACTCTCTCCTCTTTGCAAATACCTTTGAGGTCTTTTGAAAGTTCTTTCTATGATTTTACAAGTGTAGATATTCCTGACCCAAGTCCTAGTTCCACTAAAGCAGGGCTGCCTCCTAGGCCACATTCTGCTAAAATCAGATCCTCTGTTAGAAGTCTTCTTCCGCAGAGGAGCTTTAGGGCAAATAATTTGAGCCAAAAAGGTGAGAAGATGGTTCTCATTGTTCCAGACACACCTCCATCTGATGGTTCTTTGGAGAAGCCTTCTACTTCAAGGTCGTTTTCTCTCAACAAAGTTTTGTTCCCTTCAACAAAGGCAGCACATTCTTTACCAGTTACACCAATCTATCCAGGTTCAAAGTCTATACCAGCAAGACATCTAGATGCTCAATCTCATGTTTCTGTAAGTGCCTTTTTTCTCATTCATAACTTCCTTCTGGTGTCTGTTGATACTTTATGGTTATTTTAAGGTGCAACTAGTTGTTCATGCATAAAACATGTATGCCCTTAAATATTTTTTATGCTATTTAAAAAGGATGCTTTTTACCTACAGATGTCAGTAGCTCAGCAGCATATGAGTATGATGCGCTCATTATCTGTACCAGTTAATGTTAAACCTAGAAGTTTGAGGCGAGCAGACTCTGGACGAGGTTTGATCCGTGTAATTTCAGCAACCTCTCGTCCTGAGGTAGTTGAGGGTGCCTTGTCAAATGATGCCTCATCAACAGAAATCAGTAGGTGCTACTTTTCTTATCTTGGAATTTTAACCAGTAATTCATTTTGTATATTAAATTTAAATGGTTGATTTGGTTTAAGTGTTTAGTTCTTACAAAAAAATTCCATGCATGCTACTTATGTTTTTCTTTCTTTGTCTTTTCTCCTCCCTTGTACCATGCTATTTACATTTGGACTTATTCTTCCTTTTATGTCTAATTTAATGTTTTGGCATGGACTTCAAATGATTGTGTTCCTATAGTGGGAGCTCTGGCATGTTTTCTCTGAAAATTCCTTATAATTTTTTCTACCTTTGTTATGCCTGCACCTTTCCTGTGTCTTGCTAGTTACTCGACTGGATTCACCCAAGGAAGTTACATAAATTTGTAAATGTTTTTGTTTCTTCATTCAAGCAACTCCGTTAATGTTTAAGGATTTGATATGGATTATTTCTTTGGAGCTTTATAGCATGATGGGTTTTTGCCTTTGACAGCTTAATATATCTTGTTGTGATCACATTTTAGGTGCTTTGTCATATGACCAATGTCATTTCATCACAGGCAGTTGAGGTGCTTTATTCTATGACTTGCATCATTATTCATTACAATTTAATGATTTTGTAGCTTAATAAGTCGAGTTGAGCTGTGGCCATATGAGGCCCTGGCCATCTTGTCTAATATTTTATTCTAACTAATTATCACTTTTATCATACGACTGTCCTCCTAGATGTAGGTATAACTTACAATACGATGACATGTTCTCAGCTAGTGAAGATGCAGGTGAAGACATTCCTGAAGAAGAAGCAGTGTGCAGGATTTGCTTGGTCGAGCTTGGTGAAGGAGGTGAGACTCTGAAGATGGAGTGTAGCTGTAAAGGAGAGCTTGCACTTGCTCATAAAGAGTGTGCTGTAAAGTGGTTTAGCATCAAAGGAAACAAGATATGTGATGTCTGCAAGCAAGATGTTCAGAATCTGCCTGTAACATTATTAAAAGTGAATGATCCACGGACTGTTATCAGACGACCTCCGACGGTGGCACAGCAGTCTCAGGTTACTCATTACAGGCAAGTCCGCCTTTCAAAATTTTAGCTAACTTTGTTTTTTGGGTATTTTTTTAACTGGTATAAAATATAAATCCCCTGACTGTTATTCTCATTGGAAACCTTGATAATTTCCTTCTTCCAGATTTGTTTTTTGTTTAGACAGAAAGGGATTTTGGTAATTTTATGTTTAGTTTAATCAGGGATTTTACCTAGTACCTTAGTATGTTGGCTTGTTATCTTTTCTAGAATTTGTGCCAAAGAGGGAGAAGGATAGCAGGCCTGTCTATAAGGTAGTTTTGGAGGATGTGTTTTTTGGTTTAATGATAGACTGGAGTTTAGGGTTAACAAGAGGGCAAAATGAGGAAGAAACCTTTAAGGTAGTTTAAACATTTGTGATTAAGGCTTACACATCAAAATACCGTTGTAAAAGTACGTGACTTTAATGGAGAATACCCTTGTTAAAGGGAAGAGCATAGAATAATGGGATTTCAAAGTATCAAATTGGACACTACATTTAGTGAGATGACTAAATTCTGGTCCTAAATATTGCATTATGACATAATAAGGCCATGTAGCTGATTCCATTATGAAAAGGCTGATTTCTCGTTCCTATCATAGTTACAAATGTGTTTAAAAGCATTCTGCATTTAGCTACATAACCATTCAATGCCAAAGAGAGGTGTTAAAATAAAGATGGGAAAACCCAAAGAACATAAGGGTAAGAAGTTCTGGGTCATTATGAATAGTCTATATGTGTAATATGTATGTTTCTGTTTTTTTGGAGTTTATATCATCAGTGTTCCACATGTTGTATGATCAATAGGGTCTGGCAGGATGTACCAGTTCTTGTCATGGTCAGCATACTGGCTTACTTCTGTTTTCTGGAACAACTTCTGGTAAGCATCTTTTACTTATACGTACTGTGCTGTGCTACTATTTTGCACTGTTTTTCATATTTTCTTTTCTCTTTCGACAGCAGCCATTAAATCACATGCTTATCACTATTTTACGATGACATCTAGTTGTAGTATGAAATAAGTATGTTTCACAAGAAAAGCTTTTCTCGCTTTGGAAAAATCAGAATCAGCTTAATACTGCAGATTGCCTGCGCTGCTGACTAAATTCATTGCTCTCTCAATGCATATATTGGTAGCATTTGTATATGCATATTAACCCATGTTACTCCTAGAAAATGGCTGGTTAAAACCTGGACTAGAGTATCACCATATTTTTCTAGGATCCTTTGACTGATAATATTTAAATAACTGTTCAAAGATCTACTTAAAAGGCGAGAACTTTCTTAATCATGATGCTGTTATTGCCCATGGTAATTTTAACCTGAATGTGTCTGCTAGATTCTTTTCTTCTGTCTCATTTCCTTTTCCAACAACATAGTTTGGTTCTTTTCCTCCAAAGTTAGGTCTGTTCCATCTCAAACTTTTCTGTTCCATCTAAAACATAGAACTAAGTACCTAACTGCTAGGTCTGTAATTACTTTTTTCATCCTAACAAAACACTAAAACAACTAATCACTTTCCACCAGATAAAATATTATTGGCCGCATAATGATGATTTTTGCTGCCCTTTGTCTGTCTTTCATTTGAAACCATACTCTAGAAGTCATAAATTTATTTCAAAGGCTACTGCAAGAAGCTCAACATGCATTCTTTGTTTTATAATCTTTTATATGTGCATATTTTGGGCATTTTCTTCCATTTTAACATATTAGTTTCAAAATTTTTCTTCTATAGTACAAGTTGATTTAGGGTTTTGCAATTTTTCTACATATGCAGGTCTCTGACTTGGGCGCACGTGCTCTAGCAATCTCATTACCATTCTCCTGTGCTTTAGGTCTTCTTTCCTCCACAATTGCTTCAAAAATGGGTGAGCATATCATTCCTTAATTGAAAAAATGCAAAAGACATTTATGTTGAAAAAAGGTCCTGGTTGCATAACATCTAGTTCCCATTAAAAAAATTGGTGTATCAAATGGGTAATCCAACTGAATGTGCTTCATTAGCTATTCGCCAATTTGGTTCCAGTACCCAAATAACATGTTGGATATCGATAATTACGAAAGTTTGAAAATAGAGTTCAAATGCTGTTTAGTCTTCTGCCTTTGGCATGTGATTGTGGACATTAGTTTTATCTTATTTATTTTTATCACCCAGGAGATTTCTAGGGTTGTTAACAAAATACATCTGAACTAGTGAACTTTTATTTTTTCCTGGATAAACCTGAACTAGTGAATGTAATGCTGCATGCTGAAGTGAGTCATGCTATTACCAATCTAAAATATTACTGTAAAATAGTCAATGTTCTTTTTATCACAAGTTCATCATGAATAAGAATCCAATTAGCTTACCTATAAATGGAAAAGGTACTTAAATGATTGAAAAAGGGAAACTTTCCCCTCTAAGCCACACAATATATGCCTAAAATTTAGGTCCAATGACTAATTTAAGAACTCCTAATGATGTCAAAGATGAAAATTTGATGTGCATAACATCAGGATGCTGGATAGGAAGCTCTTCTGGTGGTAGATCATTAGTTTAGCAATATGTGGTCTTATAAATGAGATAAAAAGCAGAAGCGCAACATCTGCACTTGGATTTCTGATTTTCCTGGAATAAAGGCTGAAGAATGGCCTAGATGCTGAGAAATAATGGAATGGAAAATGTGACTTTGGTTCTGGAAGATAAGGTAAAGAAAAAGGTGTCAGATAGCAATCCAAACTCTGAACGATGTGCAGGGAAAAAGAAAACAAAAAATTAGAGATCATAGCATATCTAGGGAAGAATAAACCTAGGTTATCTAATGTAAATTTTCCTAAATGATCACATGTACAAGAAGGTAAACAATCCTTGAGAGCAAGCAAAGTCACCTGACTATTTGTGATCGTCAATTTTGACAGGTTTTTCTGGGCTGATGGAAGCACTTTTACACCTCTAGGAAGTTACTGCAAACCAGAGAAAAAATTTAGAGACTTAACCAGCTTGCATAATTGTAAACTATTTCAAATTCCAAGTACAGAAATTTAATGACATGAAACCTTCTCGGGAAGAAAAATATTTTCTCTGTTGCTAAAATATATTGATTACTCTTGTTTGATAAAACAAGGAATTTTACGTGAAATTATGACCATTCTGAATAGCGAATGGACTAGCTTTCTGTTGTCACTGTTTAGAAATATCTACATTGGGCAGCACAAATAACAGAAAACACAAGATATCTGTTAAATTTCAACCATTTCCATTTAGCTTAACACAGAAACCAAACAAAAATGGAAAACTAATCAGCAGAATTATTTGTTATATACAAATGAGCTGATGCTCATCAAATTGAAAACAAAACTGCAAGAAATCTTGAATAAACTCTAATTTTGTTCTTCAATTTTTGTTTACCTTGACCTTCCTGTAGTTTTTACCATCTGTTCATTTTCTTTTGCTCTATAGAGTTGTTTGTCCTAATCTACAGAACCATAAGAGCAAGGATAAACATGATGAAATATGTGTGAAGTTCAGTGACTGTATATAGGAAATAAAGGAGCTGAAAAGATTTATTTTTCTTCCCTTTTTAGCTGAGGTTTGGGTTGGGGAGGGGGGTGGGTTGGGTTCTCTTCTTAGTAAATTTGTGGTATAACGATTAGATGCTGTCAGTCTAACGAAACAACTAGAATACTTAGTGTTTTATCATATCTTCTAAATTTTTTGTTTCTATTTTGAATTTTGGGTTATTTCTTATATTCGATGGCAGCTTGATATTGTTTCATAAGTTCTCGTGACAGAATTCAGTATCTGATGGCAGTGAGCAGGAGTTACATATGGGCCTATGCTTCCTTCCAGTTTGCGATGGTTATCCTGTTTGCTCATATCTTTTATACAGTAGTAAGTTTAAACCTATTTCCTCAACAACTGTGTATTGTTTTTTTCTGTAGCTCCGGTCACCACCACCAACGATTTGTTCCAAGGGACAGACTTGGAGTCATGCTCCTAACATTCTTCCTTGAACATGCAGCTGGGTGTAAATCCAATTCTCTCGGTCCTCCTTTCGTCGCTCACTGGGTTTGGTGTTGCAATTAGTACAAATTCCCTTCTAGTGGAATACCTTAGATGGCAAATAAGAAGACGAACACAACCCCCTCGAGAGCGTACTAACGGCACCCTGCAGCAGTGGCAGCAACAAGTACAACAGCCCCAAAACCAACAAGAAAATGACCAGCCGAGGCAACATCAAGACCAGCATCAGTTTATTGATAGTCACAATGTTAGATCCAGTGGTAGTTCAAGGCAGTAAGAAACCATCATGTAAAACTTGTAGTCCTGTAAAAATATCTTAAGATTTTGCGTTTTTAGTAGAAGCAAGACATTTTGGCTAAATTTTCAGTTTGCCTATGCTATGACACATGGTGAGAAGTAATGAGTAAAAAGTTTTCAATCCCACTGTGTGTTCAGGTATTGAGACGCTCTTTGGTCTTGAAACTTGCTTTGACAATTTCCCAAGTCATACGTTGTATGATCCAACAAATTAGACCTCATCATCCGATTTCAGAATCTAAATGTGAGGTCCATGGTTGGTCAAGAAGCATAACTTAGCAATGGATTTTGGGGGAAAAAAAACAAAAGAAGTGGCCCAACATTTTCGTAGAAACTTCACTCTGCCGATGGATGTAACTCTTTCCTTAGGTAACCAATGATTGTTTTATTTACTATATATTTGGATAGATATTAATAAAAAAAAAAAATTTAAAGGAAATGAAAGGGTTCTTGATTGGATACTTAAAATTAATAAAAGAAAAAAAAAGAAATTCTAACAATTAATGTATGGATAAATAGTTTAAAAAAATAATTCATTATAATATTTTGTTTAGTTATAATTTTTTTTTATAAAGTAACATATAATATACATATATATTTTTATACTACTTAGTTTATATAAACAAATATTTCTAAATAAAATTGAACATATTTAATACGATAAGATGTATTAATTAATTATTGATTTACATTTAATTTTGTATTTAATTTAATTTTTTAATTTATTCTGACAATAATTTAATTTTTTTTTGTTGTTAAGAATTGAAAATTATAAAATATTGATAAATTATGATCTCATATAAAATACTCATAAAAAATTATTATTATAAAAAATGTTAGTTATATAATCAATTATAATATTATAATAAAAATATAGATATAATAATTTTTTTATAAAAATAAAATTTTTTTAACTTTCTTTTCCTTGATTTTTTTCTAAATTGAGGTATTAAAAAATGAATATTATAGAAAAAAATAAAAAATTATTGAATTTTTACTTTTTTTTATTAAAAATTTATCTATTTAAAAGTAAAATTTTTCTATTTTCATTACTTTTCTTTATTTATCTTTCCTTTTCTTTTCTTTTCCTCAATCCAAACATATGTTAATGAAACGTATCAATTAACGTATAATGTAATCAGCTTCAAATTAAAGAGTTGCAGAAATATCATTCATTAGATATGAAGGCTGCAATATTGATCATTGTGTTGACGGCTGAGTAAAAATAAATGTTAGTTTTTGTAATAGGATGTAGAAGGTTATAATGAAAAGGTCAAAACTAAAAGAAAGTACTCCATTTGTTTCATTTTATTTGTTCATGCTTGAATTTTTATCAAATAAATTTAATCTTGATCTTTATTTTTTAAAATATTATATTGTATGTAAACTTTAAAAATATGTTTTAAAAATTATGAAACTCAAAATTTTCGAATTTTATTTTTAAATTTTTAATTTTTTTAAAAAAATAATTGAGTTATTTTAACCTAAAAAAGTCAATAAGATACGACCGTTTTAGGACGGCGGGAACTGATATTTTTGTACATTGGTTTTATCGAGTACGGGTGCAGATTGCAGTGTGATAATTGTCAGGTCCGTGAACCTAGCCGCGTGATTCAGCAGTACACTAACTCATCGATTGGATTGAAAAAATTTTATTTTTATGCACTGAATGATATATATCATTAATGCATCATAAATTATTATGTAATTATTAAAAATTTTAATATTTTAAAATTTTAAATATTTAATTATATTAAAACAAAATAATGATGTTGTGAATTATAATAATATCAAATACAATTTTTGTAAAAATTATTTCCCTTTCGTAAAAAATTGGTTGAGCTATGCCCTATCCGGAGAGGAGAGAGGAAAGGGAGCGTGGGTTCTCACTCTCTCTTCCCAACAAATTTTCACGTACCAAGAAAATTATAGTATCTTAGTATCTGTTTCCCACTGGTAGCTGTTACTGGAACGGAGCCTTCTTCCCTGCCATCCAAAATAAATGCACATGAAAACCATAAGTCGCAAACAGCCTGTGGATAACATCCTAGCAAATGGGCAAGGGGATGAACTATGTATTTGTTGGCAGCCTAGCATGTATCACTGAACTTAACTTATCAAATGGACATTACAATGGATAAAAGAATCATGTCTATGCAATGAATGCACTTTTTGTCATCAAAATAATGTGATAGAGGCAAATGAAGATAGGCCTTAGAAAGCAACACTATATCAGCGAAAATTTATAAGCTCCATTCATGAAAATTACATTTGGGAAGTCATTTTATGCATTTTCCAAAGCTTGGATTTTGGAAGGCACAAAGAAAAAGGTCAATGGAAAATAATGGACTGAGGTAAACAACTTTCAGATCGTCACTCCTCTCAAAACAAGAAATAATCATTGTTTTAGAACACTGGTCTCAGACCTTCCCCTCTTCCCTACAGCACATTTCTTTTACATCACCAACTCGGCCTTCACCAAAGCTCACCTCCTGCTTCCACTGGTGCCAACCATTTCTTCCTCCAACCACCATACTCATAAAGAAAGAAACCACCACCAAATCATAACCAAAACCTCAAAAGAAAATATAATCCAATGCCAATGCAAGCAAGCTGAATAACTAAAATCATGATGGCATTTGTGTTTGCTTGTGTTTTTATCAATGAAAATCATTTATTTTCTTGATATCTAGTTATTAGCCAAACAAAGACTTAGTTTTTTAAAAATCAACCAAGTATATTCTGTTAACAGCTATACATTGCAAGCTCTTTCACGAGCTATAAGTTTGGATGAGATCTGTAGCATGTACCAGCCCATCAACTTTACATTTGATGCGGTAGCATGCACCAACTAATCCACTGCAATTTCAAAAGGCTTTACCAGAGAAAACAATTTTCACACCTAAGGGAAAGATGATTAACATTAAGAATACATAGAAAATTAGGTGGATGTAATTCACAATTCATGGGTACAAAGTTAATTTCAAATTGCTAGCAATAGGTGCAAGAGGTAGCAACAAAAACAGGGAGGGAGATATCCTAGCTGTGTTTGCTATATCATGCTTACCTCAAAAGAATTTAGAAGGGTCTTCTTCCAGTGCTCTGATCGTTATCAATTGGACCCCCCAAAGCTGCTAAAAGGACTAGATTGAGAATCACCAAGTCTTCCACTGCTTTGGCCTGAACGATTGTCACCAAATCCACCTCGATTACCTGAACCAAAGTCTCCAAATCCACTAGTACGTCTAGGACCAAAGCTGCCAAAGCCACTAGAATGATCTGATTTACCCAACTTCCCAAATCCACCTGGGCGGTTGAATGCAGAACCACCAAAGTTTCCAGACCAATTATTAGAACCAAAGCGACTAGAGCTAGATCCCCCATAACCACCCATCTCATCAGAAAACTGACCATTACTACGACCAAATCCAGGACTTCTATTGCCTCCAGGACGGCCAAATCCATATTCCCCTTGACTACCAGAACGACCAGAACCCCTATCACCATATCTACGATCTCGTGTACCTCCAAATGACCCAAATCGACTACCAGCATCCATGTCATTGAACATGCCAGTGCTCCCACCATCAATCTCAATCCTAGGAAGCTACAATAAATTAACAGTGATCAGTCTATAAGTTCAATCCATGAAAACATACTGTAACATAGCAATCAATGTCCAATATTCATGTACATCTTTAAGCTACAATACTGATGGGCATTACAGTCATAAACATGGGAATTGGATTATTTGTGTACATCTCCATCTATGAAGATGGCTACAAATGACTTCATTCCAACATTTAAAGCAGCATCCTTCAACAGAAATTGGGACAATATTTGATCCAGCAGTAAAAAAAAAACAGACGCCAAAAAGAAATATTTTACTGCTGAACAACAAAATCTCTCAACCCTATATAATTGAAACCTGGCATGTCTAATAGGTCCAAGTAATAATTCGTACTCTAAGCATCAAAGCTAAGATGAGTGATTCATTTCGAAACAGCAAAATATCAGTACCAAGAGGCTTGAGTGCTTGACTAAGAACAATCCAAACATTATCGCCCCCTCCCCACAGAATAATTGTCATCCTTTTGATCATTCCCTCTAGTATATTGGACGATTTTTAACTTATGATTGTTTTCCAAAAAAATTTTCATAACTCCCAACCCCAAAACAGTTTAAAGTAAATATACTATTGTCAGTTTTGAGAGTCTTCCACATTGCGATTGCTCCCACTAACTCAAGAATTCTTCCTCTTACCAAGAGGTCATTTATTTATAAGAGTCATGATATTTTATGTTAGACTTCTCTTTTTATAATAATGTTAGTTCATAATAATTATCACAAGCAACTTTTTCTCATGTTAGAGTTTTTCTTATGAATTAGTAGTTTATATAAAGTTAGATGTTTTTTGTGTTAAATAGTAGCTCTTGTCTCTTTTTTTATTCTTTTTGTACGCCAGTTATATTATATCATCTTACATGCAATATAAAAATTATACCATTTTAATACTCATGGATCATATAATACCATTCTCTAATTATTTAAAAGCCAGAACACGTATTAAACCAGTGAACGAGGCAGGTCCAGGTTGGAAAGGCAGTTCAACACTTTCTTTTCTATGGTAATCTTTTCTCATCTTTACACTTTAATGGTGATTTTGTTTTTCAAATGTAGAATAGCGGGTCTCACAGGTGGAAAGAAACAACGGTCCAGTTAATGGAATAGCCAGATAGACACAGGTTAAAGTTAGTTAAATTTCCATTTTAGGGCTTTTTTTTTTTAATTTAATGCGCTATTCTCACCAAATTCAAGGAGAGACAATACATCACCTTAACAAATCCCAGTACGGGCTCACTAACATTTCCCAAGTAATAAAGGATGAAATCTCACCTTCCATACTTTAATTACTTTGGAATTTGAAATTTGAATAGAAAAATGACATGTGTAAAGCATTAATTGAAGCTTGACTACTTAAGACTAGAAATTTAGTGTGAACTTGAAAAAGTGTTTTAGAAACCAAACTAGAGCGGCCAGTTTGACAGGAAACTGGTTAGGTTTTTGGTTCAAAGGATATTATTAACCCCAAACCAGAAAAGACTGCTAAAAAAAACCAGGTTTGATTACACAAGAAGACAAAATGCAGACATAGCTTTAATGTTTAGCCAGCTCCACTTCCAAAAGGTTAAGAAAGTCTCAACGTTGAACTTTTTCACTTTTGCCAGCCCCACTTCAAACACTTTCATTTTAGCTTTTAAAAGTTCTTTGACTTTCCTATGTTCAAGATCCCCAATCTATGGACAGATCAAGGTTGTATACAAACCCAGGTTGGAAAGGCAGTTCAACACTTTCTTTTCTATGGTAATCTTTTCTCATCTTTACACTTTAATGGTGATTTTGTTTTTCAAATGTAGAATAGCGGGTCTCACAGGTGGAAAGAAACAACGGTCCAGTTAATGGAATAGCCAGATAGACACAGGTTAAAGTTAGTTAAATTTCCATTTTAGGGCTTTTTTTTTTTAATTTAATGCGCTATTCTCACCAAATTCAAGGAGAGACAATACATCACCTTAACAAATCCCAGTACGGGCTCACTAACATTTCCCAAGTAATAAAGGATGAAATCTCACCTTCCATACTTTAATTACTTTGGAATTTGAAATTTGAATAGAAAAATGACATGTGTAAAGCATTAATTGAAGCTTGACTACTTAAGACTAGAAATTTAGTGTGAACTTGAAAAAGTGTTTTAGAAACCAAACTAGAGCGGCCAGTTTGACAGGAAACTGGTTAGGTTTTTGGTTCAAAGGATATTATTAACCCCAAACCAGAAAAGACTGCTAAAAAAAACCAGGTTTGATTACACAAGAAGACAAAATGCAGACATAGCTTTAATGTTTAGCCAGCTCCACTTCCAAAAGGTTAAGAAAGTCTCAACGTTGAACTTTTTCACTTTTGCCAGCCCCACTTCAAACACTTTCATTTTAGCTTTTAAAAGTTCTTTGACTTTCCTATGTTCAAGATCCCCAATCTATGGACAGATCAAGGTTGTATACAAACCCATGGTTTTAATTCCCCTTCTCCTCCACCCCCCCCCCCCCCCCAAACACACACACACACACACAAAATGAAAAAGAAAAAGGGAAAACAAACATGCACATCAAAAGGGATACAGGATATTACCTCAGAAAATCTGCATCCTACTTCTCGCTCAATAACCTTAACAGCCCTACTCTGGTCTTGAGTGTAGATAAGAATTGCACTTCCTTTCCTTCCAGCACGACCAGTTCGACCAGTTCGATGAACAAAAGTTTCAGACGTGTTCGGAAGCTCATAATGTATTACCTATATAAGAATATAAAATTAATCAGAAAACATTTAAAAGTATAAAAGGCAAAATAAGCTTATGAGAAAAAATGACCATCATACTAATTTTATACAACTTTGCTTAAGCATGAACTGAAACAAACAAAGGGGAAGTAAAGTAACAATTTAGTGCAATTTTCAGAATCCACAATATCAACACATGCAAAAGCCTTCTCTAGAGTGATGCTAGAATATGCAAACACTTGCATTATAGAATTCATCACGAATTACAAAAGAGAATAATACTAAGAAATTTAATCACTAGTAATTAGCAGTTGGGCAAAAGTGACAGCATGGTTTATTTCCTTGATAACTTCCTATTTTAACTTACAGAATTTTCTAAAACTTATCTGCAGAATTTGTATTATTTTAACAATTAGCAATTATGAACCAACACTCCAAAAATGGTCTAAATAATAGGCCAGCAAGCAATTGCAAACTGAAAAGGGAAGAATATTGAAGCCAATCTCAGTAAACAATAAGATAAAATTTTTTTGCAAGGGTTGATAGGAAATCCACACAACATGCATGATTTAGAGCAGATAAATTTTTCTAAGATGTCACATTGTACAGATCTATAAGAAGAAGATATCATTAAAGTGGTCACGTGACTAAGAAAACAAAAACCAGAACAGTGTCTAGCATCATGAGCTAATGGTATTAACTTATCATCTATAATCAACTGAGAAGACAATAGTTTCTAACAAAAACAGCTGAGAAATGGCTGAAAGCAAGGAAGGAAAATAATATGTGAAACTAACCAGGTCAACACTAGGTATATCAAGGCCACGAGCAGCAACATCAGTAGCAACTAAAATATTAAAATTGCCATCTCGGAAGCCTGAGAGAGTTCTCTCCCTCTGGTTTTGGGAGATATCACCATGCAAAGCCTCACATCTAAAGTTTCTTGCCATGGCATATGCTAGCCGATCAGCATCACGCTTTGTTTGAGTGAAAACAATACACTTTCCTCCTTTGGCATGCTCCTAACAAAAAGGATTTGATGATCAGATAAGAATCAATGATAATTGAGCTATACTATACTGTGTTTGAACTTGGTCCAAAACTGAAATTTGAAAGAAAAAAGAAAAGAAACAAAAAAACAAAAAGACAAAATAGCCAAGCAGGAAAAGAAAACAAGCAAACCCTAATGTCATGACCCTTACTGTTATTAGAGGACCAAGAATTGATGCTTTTCCACGCATATCTGCTGCAATTGAATACAAGGAAATTCCTTCTGCCAACTTCTGATCAGATTCTCCAACCTGCAGGTGCACATATGCCACAAGAACTAAGTGGTGCTATGTTTACTTGTCTTTTCCTATACCATAGCCAATCAAGATCATTCGAAAAAAAGACGAGGATAAAAGGATAAAAACAGAATTCATCCTTAATTGAATGTTAACATAATTTTAAAATAACCAAAATTTCAGCAGAATAATATGGATTACCACTTCACAACTTTAAACATGCCATAATAAGCATTGAAAAGTTTAGATCCCTAAATTTCCATATATAAAAAGCATGCACCAAAGGCAGCATTAATACAATAGGAAAAGATTTGCTGCAAACAAATCGAAGGAATGAACCAATAACTAGAAGCAAGAAATCATAATTACGAGCATAGAGAGATTGATAAAAAGAAGATATCCACACTAACCAGATCAATAGTTAACGGATTTTTCAAGTGCTTCTGTGTAAGGCTTTTGATCCAATTAGGCATTGTTGCCGAAAACATCATGCTTTGACGATTCGCAGGCAACTTTTCCAGTATTGTTTCAACATCCTCAGCAAATCCAACTTGAAGCATCTGATCAGCTTCATCAAGAACAAGAAATTGAACCTCTGTTAAGTTGAGAGCGCCCCTCTTGAGCAGATCAATAATGCGGCCAGGTGTACCAACAGCTGCATCAACGCCATAGTCAAGTTGCCTCATTTGGTGGGAAATGGGTGTACCTCCATAAACACAAATTGTATCCAAGTTGGGGGCAGACTCATGAAATTCCTTCTCAACTTGTTTAGCAAGTTCTCTTGTTGGTGCCAAAACCAAGCACAAGGGGTTCCTACCACGTCTGCATATTTAACACAAAATAACATTATGATTAAAATGAGAATAAAAATTTTCCATAATCAATCAACAGTTCAATCTTTCATGTGTATAAAAGAATCAAATTAAACCAATAAGGTTCTGTTTCGTTGTTGGCTTGCTATTTACCTCATGTTTCCTCAATAGTTGATAAAAGTTTAAAGTAAACATTAAAAAGCTAAATTATAGTAGTACCATATTATTTCAATTTTGATTAAAAATGAGCAAACTGTTAAAGCGTAAAAACATAGCTTATTCATAATAAAAGCAAAATTATGCATTTCATTATTCAAAAAGCTTTTGTAAACCCTAAGATGTGGCATTTCATTATGTCACCCTTAAGAGGTGGCATCCAAGCAGGTCTGGGGTTCAAATCCCAGCACCTGCAAGCTGCACTTCCCTATCCGAAGCTGCGGCCTCCTTTGTTTTTTTTGAAAAAAAAAAAAAAACTTTTATAACCAAAAGAAATTTTAAACCTTTTCATTTTGAAAGTAAAGAAAGAAAGTAGCAAAGTAACTGAAACAGCAACCTTAAGAGTAAGAGAAAGGGAAAAAATGGACAAACCCATGTTGAGCATTGTATCGAATGATTTTGTCCATGATAGGAATCCCAAAGGCAAGCGTTTTGCCTGTCCCTGTCTTAGCCCGTCCAATCATATCCCTTCCTTGCATTGCCGGTTCCAACACCGCTCTCTACAGTTGAAAAAAAGGGGAGAAAAAACCTTAGAAAAATCAACTCTTATTTTTTTTTAAGTTTCTCATTACTCAAAAGCAAAATGTGTAAAACAAAGTCAAAATACGAAATTTTTTTTTAATTTTACCTGGATAGGAAATAATTTGATGATACCCCTATTTTTCAAAGCAGAAACAATTTCTGGAGCAATCCCCAGATTAGAGATCTCAAGCCCATCACCTCCCTTCTCTTCATCATAATCCTCGACGGCATACTCCGCCTGCAAGCTCCGCGATGCCAACGGCCCTGATTTGGCATGGAACTCCCTCGCTGCAGACCCCAGAAAGGCAGAGAAGGGTTTGAATCTGTTAATAAAAAGAGTCTCCGCATTCCTGGCTGTTGCTGCTGCTCTTGAGTGGAAGTGGTGAAGGAAAGTTTGGGCGGAGGCGGTAAGGATCCGCCTGGAAGCCAAGGAAGCTGTGCGTTTTAATACGGTGTTCATCATTTTCTTTTTTCTTTTTTTTTTTGAAGAGTTGTTCCTTATAACAGTGTTGGGAATGGAAGGGAGTTAGATTAGGGTTTTAGAAAGGCAGAGAGGCAGAGTAGGGTTTAAGACTTTATAGTAAATACTTGAAAATTTTTCTAGACATGAATTTCAAGATATTTGTTGGGTCTTGCATCCTCTGCGTTCGGCTTTATTTTTGTAAGACTACACTTGCGACTTTGTCTATGCCACGTCACCCAATTAAAACATAATATCATAATTACGACCTCTTTTGCGTAGCAGTGGATCCGCACGTTGCCGCAAGTAATTTTTTTTATAATGAAGATGAAGAATTTGTGTTGTACAATTTTTAAATAAATATAAATCCAAAAAAATAATAATGGTTGCAGGAGGAGTAAAAAGAAAAATAACAATGAAGAGTTAATTGTTTTTGTTAGTAAAAGATATAAGATTAGCATGTTAAAGAAACATGATAATTAAAGTTGAAGTTATAATAAATTAAAGAAAATATTTATTTATTTATTTTCAGGATTAATTATCACTTAGAAAGTATTTTTTTTACCATGATAAAGAGACAATAATCATTAGTATTTAAGTAATTGTCAATTGTAAATTTTTTTCATCTTATTATAAAATATTTGCCTCTAACATTGTAATGTATAGGCGAAGATTTGTACTTTCCAAAAATCAACTAAGTGATATATGTGTGTTGCTTAGGGATATGTTTTTGGAAATACGTCGGAAGATGCTACATTCTAATAACATAAAAGAATTGTTAATAAAATTTATCTAATTTCATAAATCATTTTTTATGTATAGGTGAATCAAGGATATTTTATGGTTGAATAATATAGTAATATATAATTATAGTTTATAGATAATTTATTACTAAGATGCAATGTGTTTTGGTAGTTGATTGAATCATCGAGTAATGAAACATAAGAGAATTGTTATTATTGTCATTTTCACCTTGTATTCTTTAAGAGTGATAAAATTGAACATGATAATTTGATTCAGAATTTAAACCTTCAACCTCTATAATTTTCATTAGATCTGATATATTAATGTTAGAAGAATTTGCTTGATTTGTTGAATCTTTTTAAATGGAATAGCTAGAAATACAATGCTTGGAATTTGGTGACAAAAGAAATCAATCAAATGGGAGTGAAGTAAAGTTATTAACTTTTGTCGATTAAATACCATCTATTGTTATAGTAGTAGCCAACTCAGGATGTAAAAAAAATTTCGAAAGCTATGTTATTGTTGTTTGTGAATGTTAATACATCTTGATATTTAAATAATGTGAATCTACAAATACTTTCCATCCATTTTGAAAATACAATTGGTTATCAATCACTGCTAACTTTATTTTAAAGAAATTTAGTAGAAAACTTTTAATACTCACAAATTTTGGAGTTTTGATGCCTGGCATGCATATTTGAGCAAAATCTTCTAAAATTTTCTGTAACAAAATTTTTTTGTTAGTTTTTTAATACAATTTCAAGAATATCGATGAAAAATTTTAGGACAACTGATTTATAATTTTGTTGATAAATAATAATTTATAAATTGTTAATCTTATAGATTCAAATATTGTAGATGTTTATCAATATAATTTTAAGAACATATGACAATTGGTTTATAAATTTATTTACAGATAAGTATTTATAAAGTATTTCCTATCCTTGTGCATTAATAATAACATGGAATAAATAAATGAGATAATGATGAAAACATAACAACGAAATGGAAAAAGATAAAACATAAATATTAATGTTTAAATCAATAATAAATGAGAAAGGAAAACATGTATTTATTTTGCCAAGAAACGAATATATAATTATAAAAAAATGAGTGTTCATAGGTTTGCAAAAAATTGAGGAAACGATTGACTTAGCTATGAATATTTTATACCAATAAAGTGAATATTATTTCATCAGCATTTTTTTTAATATTGATAAAATTACATAGGTAAATATTTGGCATTAATAAAATGTCAAAAATGGAGATAAGGTTATAAACCTGAGGGCAAAATACTTATAGATAATAAAACAAATGAAATTAATATAAACAACCTCAATTTAAAGATTCAAATTAAATACAGAAGATGAAAAATAAATAAATAACAAATGATGCAAATATTTTTAAAATATTGAAGTATAATGGTATGTAAAAATGAATAAAATAAAAAAGAACTTAGTTGTGTTTGAAGTTTTTTTACTACAAAATCTTGAGCAATTTCTTCATAAAGTAAAACCATGACAAACCGTAACAAATCATTAAGGTTTCTACTATTTTTTATGTGAAAATAATTGTCCTTGGACATTTTTTTAGGAAAGTATTGGGATGCTTTGTATAGTTGGAATTGTGAGTTTTGGTTTTAAGGAGTGATTTTGGTGATGCTTGGATATGGTTTTAAAAAAGCTTGTAAACTGACTAGTTAAATTTTTTATAAGGAACGGGTGGAATAATTAATATGTGCATTTAATTGATTGAAGATAGTTGGGCTCTAATAGGTTGGTGAATATCTATATGGGGTGGCCGTATTTTGTATTTATGTTGAGATAATTGACTTATAGAATGGGTAAGCAATGTATTTAAAAGAGTTAGTAGATTGGTATTTTAGCGTTTTAATCAATATTAAGAATTTGTTGAAACTACAATGGGTGTTATTCTTGTATGTTAGAATAGTTAGTTCAAGTACAATAAAAAGCATACAAAAGATTTAACATATAAATATAATATTATATTATATATTAAATTTTGACTGCTATCGTAACGGTTTTTGGGACCGCTAAATGAATTTAAAAAATAAAAGACGTAGTTGTCAATAATCTTTTTTGATTAGATGTGATTGACCACCGATTAAAACTTATTTCTTAATAAAATTTTAAAACTAATTAAAATTTATAAAAAAAAATAATTTTTTGGTCTACGAAAACAGTTTGGGTTCGGGAGTCGATTATGCTTGGAGAAGGATTAGCACCCCTATGACACCCGTTTAAAAAGATACCAATTAATTATATGTTATTTTTAATATAGACAAAAATGGTCTTAATTTTTTGTATTTAAAATTTGATTTTCTTAATTTTCTTTAAAAACATATTTTTCATTTTAGGTGAGCTTGAAAAATAAATAAGAACCTTCTATTGAAAAATTCCTAAAAATACTCCAATACTTTAGCAATATTAAAAAGAACCATCTCACCTAAGAAATTTTTTAAAATTACTACTCATAATTATAAAAAAAACCTATTATCGGTGGTTCATATTTATTTTCATAAAATATGACACTTATAATTTAAAAAAATAAATTGTATTTTCTAAAAACTCATTTCTATGCCATTTAAAAAAAATGAGAAATCTTTATCGAAAATTGATCTAAATATTCTAAAACGTTGGTGCCATTTTAGATAAATTTTCTTATCTAAAGATTCTTAAAGAATCATTACTCGAATTTTTTTAGGATCTCATTCTTAGAGATTTTTTTTAATTATTAAAAGTTATGTAATAATATAATTATTTACAAATAGATATTTATTTATAAAAAAACACATTCTTATTTATTAAGAAAAACTATTCAAATTAAAGAAAATAATTATAAAATAGAAAATTTTCATATTATAAAATAGAAAATTTTCATATTGAAAATAAACTTCTAAATATTCTAATACTTCAGCAATTTTTAGAAGATTTTTTCACCTAAGAAATTCTTGAGAATCACTATTTGGATTTTCTAGAGTCTCATTATCGAAAATTTCATTACTCAATTTTATTAAAAAAATACATTCTTCAAAATTTTATTTTTTAATGAGAATGGTCAAGATGATAAAAAAAAATTATATTGAAATAGTTTAAATATTTCCAATACCTTGATAATTTTTAGAAATCTTTTTTCACCTAGGGAATAGTTGGAAAAATCACTACTTGGACTTTCTGAAGTCATCCTCGAAAATTTTAATTCTTGTATAAAATTTAAATTTAAACTCTGTACTGACAAAAAAAATTTTAGCACTTATCCTTTTTAATATATTTGTGAAAAAACTAAAATAAAACGTTATGGAAAAACTAAGAGTAAAACTAAATTGATATTGAAAAACTGTTTATAAAGGAATTATACAAGCACTTTTAGTTTTATATAAACTAACTAGTGTGGTAAATTTGGAGTAAATCTTCCTAAAATTGATCTTATAATTAAGGGATGTGTCTAATTTTTTATCCTTAATTTGAGGCTTAATAAATACTTAATTCTAGGGATGCCAAATATAAAATATATAAAAATACAATATTACAATCAGTTGTAAATAATTGTTTTCTCACACTCCTACTCCAAAGTTTGGTGATAAGTGTTTTCCATTCCCAGCTTGAAAATAATTTTCTAAAATGTTGCACTACTGAGACCTTTAGTCAATATATCTGTAAGTTGACCTTTGGTTGATACATATAGTGTACAAATCAACCCACTGTCTAGTTTTTCTTTTGTGAAATGTTAGTCTACTTCAATGTGTTTTGTTCTATCCTGTTGCATAGGATTGTATGCAATGCTTATTGCAGGCTTGTTATCACAATATAGTCACATTGGTCCAACCTGCATGATCTTCAAATCTTCTAGGATAATCTTTAACCATAGTAGTTCACAAAATCCTTAAGCCATTACTCTGAACTCTGCTTCAACACTTGATCTTGTCACCACATTATGTTTTTTACTTCTTTAAGTTATAAGATTACCACTTAGAAAATACAGTAGCTTAGGGTGGATCCTATATCAGTTTCTAAACCTGCATAATCCACATCTGTATATGCCTCTAAAACCAGCCTTGAATTTCTTTTGAATAAGATATTTCTCATAGGATTGGCCTTCAAATAGTGTAATATACGATAGACAGCCTATAGCTGTACTTTTTTATAACTATGTATAAATAGACTTATCACACTCACAACATATACTATACCAAGTCTACTATGTGAGAAATAAATGAATCTTACAACTAATCTTTGGTACATCTCTCTATCTACAGTAGTATCTTCATTAGTTTATCTAAATTTATGATTAAGATTTATAAAGGTATTTACAGGTTTATATGCAAGCTTTCCAGTTTCCTACTGAAAATCCATCACATATTTTAATAG